GTCCTCTCCATACAATATTTGAATAAGTATAGTGACCATCAAAACTAACTGCTTATAAAGTGCCCTCCAAAAGTATGGGGACAGCAAAGTCACAACTGCTATTTTTGTTGTTCAGTCAAGCAATCTAGATTTGTGATCTAATATTGATATGAGTAATAAAAACAATATAATATAGATTTTTTTATTGGGTAATATTAGATTATTATTAATATTTTTGGTGATATTAGAAGAACAAAAGCATGTTTTGTGGTTAAACTAGTGTTTTCAAGTTTCCATAATTACTGGTACACATTCAGTTACATTTAAGAGTGTAAAGTCTATTTGCTTGGATATCCCTTTGATGCAATAACTGCACAATGTCTGCGATCTGTTGAGCTCACTAAACTCTCTGAGCACTGAGTATTTAGTAAAACGTATGAGTTTTTAAAAGTCTGAAGAGGTTGCACAACTAAAAAAGTACTAAGAATTCATTTTGGGATCTTGGAAATTTAAATAACATTCAAAATTGATAGCAATTTAAAAAATAAAATTTAATGATTAATCACAGCATAAAACACCACTGTTTTTTTATTTGAAACTACAATACTACAATACATTTCTCAATTCCTTTAGCTCTAATTATGCTCTTCAGCACAATTTAATTGAGAATGATTATTTTGTAAAGAATGAACTAAGTCTTTCTCAGTCACATCAACTGTAAATTGTATTACTGTATTACTATGTAATTTTACTGTAACTGTATTACTATGTCATTTTAATTCAATTGTATATTTTATAATCTAATGTACATTAAAGAAAATGCAATAAGGCAGAATCTCTTACTGTGGGGTTATCATTTACAGATGTTGAAATTTAGATACCTGCTTTATTTACAACTTCACTCAATCCAAACAATTATTTTTATGTAATTTCTATACATACTGTATGTTAATCCCTCCAGACTATTGCAGTTTCAAAAAGCTTAAAACACAAATTGTTTTTCTGAGTATAATCATTGAATTCTAAATTGCTTGTGAACCTTGTAGTCTGTGAGAAATACAATGGAATAAGCAGGTGTTTGTGTATGAAGGTTAGCCTTAGGTAACACCAATTAATAAAGTTGGAATTGTTTAAATAGCATTTGAGTCAAATGTTATCTGTACTTGTACTGTACCAAAATGGAAAAACCTACAGTTTTGCCACATCAAAGTTGATTGTGCAATGAAATTGTCTTGGGAATCTAACACATGCCAACAGCAATGCATAAAAGTCGCAGTCCTTCCAGAAATAAACACATTTTGGAAAGACGGTAGGCTCTGTTTGTCACAAAATGAAGGAGCTTCTGTTCTTCTTTGCCTTGCTATTGGCTGTCCACTGCCAGAAACGCTTTATTGGGTAAGTAATCCATCAAGCCATGCTTTTGCATTTTTGTATAATTGAGTTAATTCGAACTAAAATGAATTTCTCAGAAGGTTCTCATGCAACAGAAAGTGTTTCATAAGAACATACAAAAAGTTACAAATGCGTTTGGCCCATATAGCCTAATGAGTAGTTAGCACTAAAGGAAGTTGGAATCTAATCCAGCTCTTTCTTGAAAGCAGACAGGGAATTGACAGGGTAGTTTGTTTCATACTTCCACAGACCTTTGGATAAAGATGTGCCTCTTTTTCTAGGTTTTAAATTCACTTCCACAGTTTTGACTCGTGTTCTCTGGTTCATATTTCACTGCTGATTCTGAAAAAGTCCACAGAGTCCTCAGTGTCATTGAGAATTTTTAAGACTTTAATCAGGTCCCCTTGTAGCCTTCTCTTTTCAAGACTACAAAGGTCCTGTTCCTTCAGCCTGTCAGTGCTGGGCACTCCCTTGAGCCCTGGGAAAAGCATCTTGTTGCTCTTATCAAGGCTGATTCCAAAATTGTACACAATATTCTAAAATAGGTCTTATGTTTTATTAGTGCATTTTACAATTTATAACTATACCATCCATTTATTTTAATTTTTTTATTCCCTAATGTATAAATACCTCTAAAATGGCTATCCCCAAAATACACATTTAATTCTTTGTATAAACATAAGTGTATAAAGTACCTTTCTTTCCTGAAAAAGGTGCTAAACATTGAGAAGGTGCTGAAGCGTGCTGAAACATTTTGTATCCTATTGTACATTATGTTGACACATTAAAAGAAAATTAAACGTCTTTCTTGTCTTCTGTGTGTATTTTAAAATATATTTTAAGATGCTTTTCAAAACTCTGCGGTGAAAACTCCGGAAGTTCTTAACAAACCGAGCACAGCTTTGTAAAAATGATTTTTCCCCCCGAAAAGCCAAAGGTATCAGTAACAACGTCACTAAACCAGCAGAGGGCGACATAACAGCGCTGCACAGACGTGCACTGTCCTTATTACGAAGTCGCCGGCAAAATAATTTAATAACAAAACCTCTTTAAAATAAATGACTTAGATGAGAAGTTTTTCAGATGGCTTCCCTTTGCATTCTAATGTGTATTTTAAATGCATTTTAAATTAGGACACTTAATCACCAAAGTGTTTTTCATATAATAAGTGAGCAACTTTCGGAAGATAAATTTACTTAAGGGAAGAAAAATCAATGGGACTTTGCTTTTGAAGATTAATATGACTTTGACTTTTAAAAATGGTGTCTAAGAACTTCACCGAAGAACATAACTGTAGGCATTTATAAAGTCTCATGTTTATATTTAAGAAATGAGAAAAATACTTATTGCAACTAAATGAAAATGATGTTTTTTTAGAGATCAGGTACTCAGGATCGAGCCAGGATCTAATGAGCAAATTAGCGTTCTGCAGTCTTTGCAAGAAGAAGATGATTTCCAGGTACGAGCACAGCTCCGTGGTAAACAAGACATGACCTCATGACATGACAAAACAACCAATGCATGCGAAACAAAACATGAACATCCTTATTTTTAAAGGAAATATTACATTACACAATGACATGTGCTGAAATCACATTATAAGTCCAGGCACGTAAATAGACACATTTACAAAAACAGTGGTTTCGTTCTCTGTGTGTTGGTACAAAGTCTGGGAAACTGGAAACTGCACATAAGTTTATTCAAAATCAAGGATTTTCTTGTTTTGTCTGGAAAAAATATTTTTCTCCATACATCCTCAATTAAACCCTAATTGTTATCTCCATTTCAATTAGTAATTGAGATCCATAATGTACTGTACTTAGTATACATTAATGATTTCTTTTCAGCATGGGAAAGCTGATGTGGTGTATTAGAATGTATACACTATAATATATATACAATATGCTGTATTGGGCTTTGGAGTAGGAGAATACATTTTTTCCTTGTAGAGCAAAAATGCCTATAAATATAAAATGTAAACTTAAACTTGAAGTGGCAACCTAAGAAAGTTAAGAAATTTAAAGTTCACTCAATTTAGCAAATACAGTTTAATCTCATGTCAAGAATGAATTTATTCTTTTTTCCACCTTTTCTGGCCAAATTTTGCATACAGTAGGTTTGTGTCACTCCTTGTTTTGTTAAAGTATTTTTAAGTACATTTTTGAAGATTGAAATGAAAGATTTCTTCTGTCCTCTGCAGATGCAATGACCAAACGTGTTTCCATGACTAATGGCGTGGCTTGCCTTTGGCAAACCAGAATTGACTCGAATGCACCTCACTGTGCTGTAGTTGTACTGAAGCACATCTCTTCTTGTCTTATCTTAGTTGGACTTCTGGCTTCACCCTACCAACCCAGACCTTCCTGTTGATGTCCGGGTGCCTATTGCCAGCCTGCAAGCTGTCAAGGATTTCCTTGAATCAAATGGCATTCGATATTCTGTTATGATCAGTGATGTACAGGTAATCTGCTGTATACATGAACTGCACCTGGGCTATAGTACCCTTAATAGAAACAATACGAATACGAATAAATGTATTTATTCTTGTGGGTATTTGTATTTGAGCATCTTTTCTAAAGCTTCTCAAAAGGATACAATAAAAGAAGACAATTGATGAACTTCAATGACAAGGATGTTTTTGCGATTAGGGTGTTGCATTTGAAGAAAGTGGAATAATTCATATTCTCATTGACTTAATATGTGTGTTTCAGGAAATGTTAGAGCAAGAGCAGAAGGAAATGGAAGCTAACAGGAGAATGGAGCGAAGCTCAAAAAGCTTCAACTTTGCTGCATACCACACCCTGGAGACGGTAGGTTTTAGGCTTAATATTCTTACATTCCTTAGTTACTTAATTATACAGTAAGTTACACCATATTCCCTCCGTTCTTTTCCTGGAGGACATTCCACCTTTTAAAGTTAAAATGTCCAAACTTTCATGTTCTACAGTGTGTTCTTTAATACACAATTCAATCCCATGTTGTGTCAATAGCCTGCTGTGAATGGGGTTTCTCACAGGATGGCATTGCTGTCTTGCCAGCTACTAGGGAACTTGTAGTGCTGTTACCTTAGCTGTAGGTGCTGTGAGACTCTTGTAGAGCGGATGGTTTTCACAAAACCCGCCTGTGCGGATACAAGGGACGGTGACACTGAACTGAGCATGGTCCTTCCAGATGAATAGTACATAAAATTAAATAGCATAAAAATTAAAAGTGGCAATTCAAAATTTAAAAGAAACGCACCATCATACAGAAACAAATTTTTCTAGCATCTCTAATAAACAAATCTGACCAAAGTAAATGCACGGCTATTATACTACAGACATTTCAAATTACATTGCGACAGTAATTTTAAACATTTTAAAACATGGTATAGAGAAGTATACTTATAATGTAAGTAAAATATGATATAAGTAATAAGTAAATATTATTTTAGAGTGTAATTTTGTATTTTAAAATAAAATGGAAAAATGTTCCTTGGTGTACAGTTTAGAAAACATTTACCCCTAATTTAACCCTAAACTGATAAATACTTAACCTGCATGGATTACAAAATTACAGCAATTTTTATTTCTCACTTTGGTTCTTTGTCCCAGATCTACGACTGGATGGATACCCTAGCTGCTGACTATCCTCACCTGGTTTCTAAAGTACAGATTGGATTTTCCTATGAACAGCGCCCAATGTATGCTCTTAAGGTACAGAAATGTAGGAGTATACAAGTTTACAGTGATTAATTATTTTTATAAGGGTTGCTTTAAGCATATCACCTAGAAATTGAGGTCCCCTAGTCATGACACTGGCATTTGGAATTCCCGTCTTTAATGACTTACAGGGGGATTTTCAAAGCCTTTTAGCTCCAAAGCAGAATCTGCTCCTAATTTGCAGAAAGGAATGATATGTTTGTAAGCATAAAACTGCCAATCAAGGTTAACACTGTGGAAAACAAAAGGAAAATGTTTTTTACTTTAATTTGAATGGGCTGTATGTGTAGGGAAAAAAATCCCACAGTGAATTGTTCCCGAGAGCCAACTGCTTTGAAAATTGTCCCGTTATTCTGTTGTTGTTAGGTTTCAAATTGTCATTTGTTAGACTGATACAGTATGAACTGAAACCTCTTAAATCCCTGTAAAAACTTGAACTTGTAATGTTCTCAGATGAAAGATGAATTGTTGTTTAATTTTCTCCAGGAAGATGGTAGTAAAGCTTACACATTGTGGGAGTTCTCTTCTGGAATATGAAAGTTTTGAGATACCATGATCGTTACACATTATAGAAATTCTCTTCTTGACTATAAAAGTGTTGAGATACTGTACCATGATCGTTACACATTATAGAAATTCTCTTCTTGACTATGAAAATTTTGAGACACCGTGCTGCTTGCTTGTATTCCAGTTTAGCACTGGAAGCAGCAGCCGCCCTGCCATCTGGATTGATGCTGGTATTCACTCCCGTGAATGGGTGACGCAGGCCACAGCAGTCTGGACAGCAAACAAGGTATGGTACGTGCATTGGCTGTAGGGTGTCCTTTTCTTTCAGCACACCTCCAAAATGTACAGTATTTTACTGGGAAAATGCTTGAGTTTGTGCCTTCCAGTCAGTGTCCTGCTCTCGAATGGCCTTACATGATTTTCTTGAACACAGGATTTTCCGACTGGCAATTGGAATGAGAATATTATATGCTGTAGGATGATATGCATAATTATTTTATGGTAGATCAGGTGAGTAGCTGCATCAGCATGCGTAGGCTGCAAAGGAACAAGTAATAGCTTTATTCCGTGCTGAAAAGAGAAGAAAGAAAACACAACGTTTCGGCCATGGAGCCTCTCATACCTGAAGAAGGCTCCATGGCCGAAATGTTGTGTTTCCCTTTTTCTCTTTTCAACATGGAATAAACCTATTACTTATTATTTTATGGTTTGCTGTTCATTTAACAATAGTGGTAAAGGATTTAATGTGTTTGAGGATGCTTATGGAGTGCTTAGGTACCGTAAGGTTTGTTTACCCACTTGGCTGAGGGAAAATAAAAGTTTACTGTTTACTGATGTTATTTATGGAAAAATAATGTCAGGTATGATAACAAATTAGAAGAGCTGAGGTGAAAGTGAATTGATTGTTGTCATTCCTTCCTAAATTTAGTTAAGATCTCCATTTATTGTGCATGACCCTCATAGACCCGCTAATTATCATAGGAAGGTTATTTGTTAGTCCTACTCCCTAATGTACGCTCTGTTCATAAGGAACTATAGATAGCTCTTGGAAACTTTGTTGTCGGCCATTCGAAACAAGAAAATTCCTTGATTTCATCCAGCAGAAATGGTTCAGTTTGGCTGTTTTAACTGCAGTTAAAATGAAGGTGGCTGTGTTGTTAGCTTTCCCATTGCCTGTCTTGATCATAATAACAGAAGAAAGGTTACAAATTTAAGGAGGCCAGTTGCCCCATCAAGCCTGTTTGTTGCTTTGTAGCTATAACTGACCTGAGACATATTATGATAGAAGTCAGGGTATTGACTTCATGAACATGGCTGGACAGCTTGTTCCATTCCCAGGCCAGGAAGTGCCTCCTGTTCTTTGTTTTAATTGCTTTTTGACATGTGTCTCCACTTTCATCCTCTGGTTCATTTTTCACTGCTGGGTTGACTGCTGCCTTGAGGAATTTTGAATACTTGAATAACAGTAGGTCCCTATAAGAATGTAGGAGAGATTATTTATAAGGAGCTGTCTTCGTCTGGGGGATGTTGAAAGCTTGGAGTCCTGCTGCTAAAACAGTCAAATCCATATCGCAGAGTACTTCTTTGGCCACTGTTGCACTTTATTTCAGTGCAAATGTGGTTGAATTTCACAGGTGGATACCGTTGATGGTGTGTGGAGGGGGGAATTTTCTGTATAAATTTTCTTTTTGGAAAGCTAAAAATGATAATAGTAACACCACTGTTCTTCTATAATCAGATAGCAACAGACTATGGACAAGACCGCTCCCTTACATCCATCTTGGACATGTTGGACATCTACCTGTTGGTGGTGGCGAACCCCGATGGCTATGCTTACACACACAGCAATGTAAGTACAGTACCCCCAGTGGCTGCTGCAGGGACACCAGGACTCTAAATGATCAGGGTCAGCTCTATAATAACATGTTGCAAATACAGTTATTTACTCAATTTACTTTGAAGGTCTTTAATGTTACAGCCCCCAGAAAATTCAGTTTCCTTTACACTCTTTTCTCCATGGTATATGGATCAGATGTTCTCTATGAAGGCCACCACAGAGAGGCTGGAGGCTAGAGAGAAAATGGAGAAATCAGGGTAACTGTGGATTGGGATCACGAATTGTTAAGTATAGCCGCTTTCAGATCTGTGTATTTTCTGAAATAGGTCCATTTCTGGATTTGCTGAAAATGGACCTGATAATTTGTGGCTCCACTTTTCTGCTATTGGGAAGGTCCTAGGGTCAAGCCCCCCATCCACACTAATTGCCACACAAAGCCTGTGCATGATTTTCTGGTATTTTTCATTGGTGAGACAGATAACAAACGTCAAACTCCAATACCTGAAACATGTTCTCTGTCCCCCTCTGCGAATCGGTTTCTTGACCTTTCTTTGACATTCCTGTGCCTGTGCCATTCCTGTGCCTCCCACAGACTTTCTGACATACTTAATAAAATAAATCTGCTGCTTGTTTGTTAATGTGTTAGCTACAGACAAATTGGGTATTTTTACTCCTTTCTCAAACATAGCACTCCTTTTTAAAATGATCAAAAGTATTGTGGTTCAACAATTAAACAATCATCTAAACTGTCCTTGTTAAGGATGTTAATAATCTTTTAATGGCTTCACAGCGACTTCTCTTGGATCTCAGTGGTGCTTTGGTTACAGTGAACCACAGTATCCTGCTTGCCTGCTTGTAGCATTTACTTGAAACTACTGCCTTTTGTTCATTTAGGTTCTAGCTTTATGAGAGATTGCAGTTTATCTCTCTGTGGTTAAAGATAAACCTACTAAATAATTAGGTCCATGTAATTAGGCTGGTCACCTCTGGTGTTCCTCTGAGTTGGTGTAAATGGTGTAAATCGTCTTCTTTATCCTGATGATACTCTTATTTACTTGCATTGTAAACCTGACATTGATATGGCTGTCCCTGTTTTTACATTTTACATTGCTGTTTTACTTTGAATGAAACAAAACTTTTTGCTATCAAACAATAAGAAGACAGAGGTCATGCTTTGAATTCTGAACATCAAACTACATATTGGTACCAATATGTGATGATGATGGTGTTCAGATCAAGTTCTGTGACAAAATGAAAAATGTGGGGGTTCTCTTTGATTCAAGTTGAAGTTCTTAGCAGCTTGTTATGAAAATCTCCAAGATCTCTTTAATTGATCTTAGGAATATTGCTTAACTTGTCTGGTTCTGGATAACCTTTAAAATTCTGCTTCTGACTCACAAGTCTATAAAGAGAATCTATCTCCCTTATGTTTCTGTCCTGTTGTCCACTTACATCTGATTCTTGCACTCTTTGGCCCTACAACATTGGTGTCTGACTTACACAATGTACCCAGTACAGATTTATAGGTGAAAGGGCCTTTTCCTATTATGCTTCCAAAACATAGAACTCTTTTTCCATTGAGATCATGTTGGTAGAGTCCCAGCCTGTTATTAAATCATACTCTGAGTTTATTATGAGTATTATGAGTTTACCAGTGTTATCTTTTATCCTATTAATAATAATAATCCTTATTAAAAAGTATATTATTATTAGCTATTTAGTTCAAAATAGTGTGCGTTTGGTCTTGTGCTTTTAATATTTGATTTTTCACAGAAATGCCATAAATGTAAAGAAAAAAATTATTGCTGTCAAAGTTAGGACTTTTTCAAAAACGCTTTTTGTTTAGGGGTATATAATGACCATAATTTTGTATTTTGGTGTATTAATATTTTAAAATCCAGAATGTTTTGTACAATATTTTGTTGTTCATTGGTTCCTTCAATATAATTTTGTCTCCAAACATATTTGGAAAACTTTTCAGCCATGCCTACACATTTTGATGCACTGTCTTAGGATACATGTAGAGATATGAAATTTGGATTTCAAACATTTAAAAGTTTGGTTGATTTTGTCACATAATGCCAAAATTCCCAAAAGGAGGAAGAGGTATATTGCGAACCAGACTGCCACAACATGAATAACATGACTGGATGGCCAGCACCAACAGTTAGATAACATTAGGAACTGTCCTAAGTCCAGTCTCCCAAGAGCTATGAGCTCAAAACGGAAAATGTGAGTGTAATAGTGTTTGGGAATTATCACTGCTGTTTTGATTGGCAAAGTGGAGCAATTTTTCTCACCTCAATGAGAACAACACGCCTTCAAAACAGTGATGTGTACTGTACCTTCTTGAGATGGACTCTAGATTGTCCCTGCTATCACCATAAACCCCAGATTGGGCCACTACTACCCTGGCCAGCCGTGATAACTGACGTAGTACTGTGATGAGCCACTCACGGTTCTGCGTCAGTGACATGAAGAGCAACATGCTGGAGACAACTTTCTAGCTCTCTGACAGTTTTATCGCCCTCTGCATCACAGCGGGGTGTGCTAGTCACGGAGCAGGTGAAGTAGCTGGGCAGACTGAGAAAAAGAGAGCAAGCATCCGCTAGATGCGGAGGAAGGAAAAGAGAAAGAGAGGGGATTCCTCCCCGTTTTCACAAAGGGAAAGGTGAGAAAAGGTGAGCTTGGGGAAGAGGTCATTGGGACTTTCCAATGCCAGGGTGTCGTGGATCGCTACAGTACTAACTGAGTGCCTCTGGTCTCTAACACCAACCCTTTGTGATCTGAACTGGGAGTGGTCATTTGTCCAGCAGTGAACAACACAACTCTGGCCTTTCTTTCTTCATTACAGAACCGCATGTGGCGCAAGACTCGCTCCAAGAACCCCGGAAGTGTCTGTGTTGGTGTGGACCCTAACAGAAACTGGGATGCTGGATTTGGCGGCATGTGCCTTTTACATTTTTTAAATATTGCAGGGAGGCGAGGTTGATAAAGCTGCTCACCAGAGCAGGAGGGCAGAGTAAAGTAGCAGGTGACGTAGCTGGGAAGACAGTTAAATTGTGAGTAATCTGTGCTTGCCATGTTTAGGCTAGAACAATCAGAAAACTGGAGTGTGGCCCATGACATAAATATCAACAACACAATAGTGTATGAGATCTTGAGAGCATTAATTGTTGCCATTCATTGTATGTTGTGTGTCCTTTATCAATTGCTCTTCTAACTGAAGGTCCTGGAGCCAGTACTAATCCCTGCTCTGACTCATATCATGGCCCCTCTGCACAATCTGAGGTGGAGGTGAAGAACGTGGTGAACTTTATCAAACAGACTGGCAACTTCAAGGGCTTCATCTCCATACACAGCTACTCTCAGCTCCTCATGTACCCTCATGGATATTCTTGCAACAATATCCCGGACTACCAAGAGTTGGTACGTATAAACCAGCCAAAAGCCTTGTTTGTTCCCAAGTGGTGGGGTTTTGTGGCTGAACTGAAAGCGTATCTGATTTCCTTTCCACCTTTTCTTATCCTATCTGATCTCTCTGACATCCCAAAGCTTTTTGGTATTATATTTACTTAGAGACGCAACCAAAAACTGTGGGAAGTGCCTATTACCTGTGTGGCTCATGCAGTTTTATATATGGTATGCAATTATAAAGTACCAGGTAACAAGTGACATGGGAACACTTACAGTACAGTGGATTTACAGTTGGGTAGTTTGCTGTTGAGATCTTGATACAGCCAGAAGTACTGTAATTTTTCTGCTTTAGAAAAATTTCCTTATACTTTAAGCACTAAATTCTCTAAGACACATTAATGGCGAACCCAGATAATATAATCTAATTACAGCAGGCACATTTGGCTGTAGTTGGTGTGTTCTGGTGCATTCTTGATGATGTATTTAGCAGTGACAGTTATTTTTTTTGACAAGACAAAAGATTGGTATCCAGACTGTTACTGTACCATTTCTGGACATAGAGCATAAAACCAGTTACTTATGGCTGATGCAGAATGTAACAGAAAAGCTAACAGTTCATTTACCTATCTGAAGTTATTGATTGGTATTTTTTATAACAGGATGCTGTCGGTAAGTCGGCTGCAAAAGCCTTGGGCTCTCTGTATGGAACCAGCTACAAGGTGGGAAGCATCTGCAAAATTATCTGTAAGTAATCTACTTTCTGTCAAGTTATTTTCCATGGTAATACTATTCCTTGGTGTCAGTAAAAATGGACTTCATAAAAAGATGGAGGTCATACCATCTGTAAATCTCTGACTTGTATGACAACTCATTTGAGAAATCAACTGGAAATCCATTAACCCTTGCTGACCAAGGGTATTGTGACCACACATGTGTGTCAGACTGTGTGGCAATGATGAGCAGACATTGACATTTCATTGGTGTAATAAATTAATTTGTGTTAAGCACAATGGATCAAGTCACACGTTATCTGATGGAAGAATTACAGTATTTAATGAAAATGAAATTTATCATCATTTTTAAAAGCTTTAATTTGTTCCCTTCTATAAGCTCTCATTTGGGAATAGCTGAGTGTCACTCAGGCCTGCTCACTTACCCAGGGAGAGATGAAGGCATGTGGGACTCCAGGTCACCCTGCTATTTTACGCACTTCAATCCTGTAATTATACAGCAGAGCTGAGTCGTTCAGTCTCATAGACAGGCAGCTGGTGACAGGGCTCCCTGGCGTTCAGTGAGATGAGGATTACCTAGGCCACACATCCCGCCTGAGAAGCAAACTGTGCACTGGGTCTGGATGAGTCTCTCATCCTGTCAGTGTACAGTATAGTGGAGCTCCTTTCTGTTCTGCTAGAGGTCTACCATATAGCCATCTACTTAATGGTGGAATTTAACTAATTATCAACAAATCAAAGACTAAGCAGCTTCTTGTGCTAAATCCCTTTGATAGCAGGGAATAGCTCCTAGAGTCTACAACTCAATTTGTACACTCGGCAAGTACTTGAGCTAACGAAATTGACCTTATTTTAATCCCTCACTCTCTCAGTTTGAACAGGAAAGTGTTTCATATATTGGCATTCTTGAGTGTCATCTCCTTCACCTCAAACTAGCATATTTCGTACCTGTATATCAAATCAGTAATCATATTTGACAGGAACCTTGAATGATTTTGCCTCTTTTCATAAATTTCCATGCTCTTTCCTCTTTTTGTTTATGCAGATCAAGCTAGCGGAGGCAGCATTGATTGGTCCTACAACTACGGCATCAAGTACTCCTTTGCTTTTGAGCTGCGTGACACTGGTCGCTACGGTTTCCTGTTGCCAGCCAATCAAATCATCCCCACCGCTTCGGAGACCTGGCTGGCTCTGCTGAATATTATGGAGTATGTTCGTGATCATACTTATTGAGAAGACGAGGACAGAAGGCAATGAAGCTAGGAGAAAAGAGAAAAGATCAAGCTTACTGTTACAGATTTCTCAATAAAATAAAGGTTTCAATATAGTACACCTTTGATTATGTTTTTTGTACATTGTAATAATTATACATTTCATTGATGGTTTTTGAAGATGTAGTGAGCTGGAGTTTAGCCTGGCAGATATAAGCAGGATAGAGACTGAACAGGATGTCAGTCCATCGCAGGCCACACATCCACTGACACATGCATATGAGAAACAATTTAGAGATGCCTTTTAGCTTAAACAGTGTTGTCTTTAGACTGTGGATGAAAACCAGAGAGCCTAAAAGCATGGGGAGAACAAGCAGGGCCTACCACTGCCACCTCGTGGCTTGTACCACTGTGCACTAATGACTGCACCGCGAAGTCATAAAAACCAACACATGAGTATTGCCCACCAGCAGCATGACATGGTAAAGTTGACCTTATTACCCATTGCTTATTTTTCATATCAGGGAATTTCTATTTCACAATGGGAGTGTGGCATCCAAAATGGAGTCCAAAAATGTGTCTGTTTTTTGCTTCTGCAGTCACAGTCGGTAACTACCCCACCATGAACGACTCTTTCTAAAATGCGTATAAGCTGTCAACCAGATGATTCACAAATTGTACAGCATTCTCAGAGCCCCTGAAAGATTTGTATAGGATTGGTGTACAGTACTTGAAAGAGATAAATAACTAAGGTGCACCATCCTTCCTTAGAGAGTTGTCCAAATTTGGAGTCAAAGTATTTATAATTAAGATGTAAACATGAAACTGCACAATATAGTTAGTATTTTAAGGAAATACAGTCTTACACATGTTTATACATACATGTGTCATCAAGAAAAAGTGAACTAAGCCATGTTAGACAGTCACCGGAAGCTTTCATCTGGGAGTATCTTTATTGTTTAAACTGGGACGTCTTTGTAATACCTCTGTCTAGAAATAACAATGTATACTGGATGTCAGGAAAAACAGTGGCAGGAACCTAAAGTTTTGATCATGTTTTATCATGTCAAGAAAATTAGAATTGAATCTAATTCTAAAATTGATCTGCAATATGTAGAAAGTCATCACATATTTTTAATTATATTTATATTTTATCATTTTGTTACTGTTACTGAGTAATCGGAATAAACATTGAATATGCAATGTCAAATTAATTTTAACGGTCAGGATATAACTCCTTGATTTATGTATCCTATGGTCACACTGCATTGGTTGTTTTCTGAGGATTGTCTTATTTGTAAAAAGAGGAAAGGAGCTATGATTTCACGCTGCATTTTATGTATATAAAACAATCTTACTTTGAGTTTTTAAAACTCTACCCGTATTTCATGGTTCAGACGTCTCAAAAATGGCTTGACAAATTACTTAAATGGATAGATAAAAAAATTAAAACTCTTTATTATGAATCAAAACGTTTTATTTTTTTAATACATCTTAGTATCTTATTGAAATGTATTTGCGTTTCTTATAAAGCAGTGCGCCTGTGCACTTTTTAGGTCATGTGGGTTGAGCCATCAGATGATAAGATGATTCATCAAAATGAATGTTTTTGTTGTGAAACCACCATGGCTTAAGTAGTTGCCATACTATAGGAGATAAATTGACTTTTTTTAAATAAACGTAAAAACTCACCAGTTAAGGAAGCAGCCCATCAATTAATAAACAATTGTTCTTTTCTGTTTCATATTCTCCAAATATCTACAGTACCTCTTCAATTTCCTTTGAAGAACAGATAACACTAAGCATTTTGCTTTGTTTATCTTTTGAATAGAAAGCTTGGTTTTAATTGCTTTCAAGCATGTATCTAATTCTAAAACAGCTTTCAGACATATCTGTCAAACAAGTAGTGTGGAAGGCCAGTATAATCATTGACTGTCATGAATACCCCTGGCATTGTAAATCTGCCCTTCTTCCAACTGGGTGTCAATTTAGACCACCTAGAGTCAAATGCAATAGAGCTAAATTATCTTTTATTCCCACATCTGTAAATCTGCTTAATTTGGACAATTAACTGTATTTTTTATTTTTTATATATTTTTTTCTCATCATGTATGTCTCATTGTTAATGGGCTCATGTAGTGTTAAATGTTTCATGCATTGTGTTATGTCTTTTACCTGCTACAAAGTAATTTTCCCATCTGGCACAATAAAGTAAGTACGATATTTAAATACGTAAGATAATTTCTAAAGAGGAAATAGAGAACACATCAAAGGCAGAGATTTCTAAGCCAACTTGTGTAGTTTTTCATTTTGAAACCTTTCCCACAAAAAGAATTATGCAGCTGTGAAGAGATATTCCTGTTTTATTTTGCATTTGTGAATTTTAACACATGGGACATAAATTATTGAATAGAGTTATTATGGGAAGGCACATGAACCTTTTCCACATATTTTTTTAATGCTACAAATCAAAATCTGTGAATCATTATTCCTGGTGTAGTTTGAATTTTGGAATACAAAGGCAAACGATGTGTGCAAACCTAATAATGGGATGGCGAATCAACTTCCTCTTTGCACACAGTTCCTTAGACAATGAAAAAAATGTTAAAAAAGAGGAAACGAGCTTTGCTTTATATTTAGCACCCCTTTCACTTTAAAATGCTGACAGACAGTGCTGAATATCTAGACTACCAGATCCACAATGTCTATCATCACACGGCCTTAAGAATTTAACAGGTAACACATTTGTTTACTTATGATCTTATGAGAATACTCATTGTCACAAAATCCTTTGCATATTTGCTTTGACCACTTATTGTTTTTATTAAATCAAAGTGTTTTCGACACAAATTTTAAGTAGCTAGAGAGTTGCTGATATTGTTTCAACATCCGACAATGATACAGTACATTTCTAAAATGAAGTACATGTGTTTCAAGGTGGCAACATCAAAAGAAAGTGTTTGAGTTAGGCTGAATGGGAATCCAAAGTGAGAAGGAGTTCACAGACAGAAAATTAGCTTTCACAATTAAATCAAATTTAATTTCTATAAATTTGCATCCCATTGGAATGAAAATACACACACCTCTTTGTGTGATTTTCACACAACCCCAGGTGAAATTATAGGTATTAATTTGTGTGTGTTAATTCCACACAGCATGAAATGAGCTTAGCTAATTGTAAGAAAGACAATGAACACTGATTTATCTTCCATTGTTACTTTTGCATGAGGGCAATCTCTTTGATAACTTGACGCCTGTTAACTAGGTTTTTTGAGATAAAGGTTCTTGTTCCAGGAATTCTCTCGCTTAAAATTTTTGTTCTTATTTTTTCTTTCGTTTAAATATTTAAATAACATTATGTATGTGTTGTTAATTGTATTGCTTCACAAATTAACAATGTGTGTGTACCTTTTTAAAGCTCTGTCTGTGTCTTATTGTTTGTATCATGTTGCTTTAGATAAATCTAATTATGTTTAATTAAGTTAGTATCTCCACAGAATTTAGTGAACATACAACGGTTGTTTTCTCTGGTTCATGTATTTACTTTGATGAAAAATGAACTTGTTCATGCTTATAGTTTTGTGCTTTTTGTATCAGCTGTTTACTTCTAAGATGCAGTGAACTGGCTTTAATGTACAGCGTGGTCTTATAATAACATAGTTTCACAATTTAATTGCGTTGTATGGAATTTACATTAAAATTAATTAAAACATTAAAAAAAAACTAAATGAAAATAACAACCATGACTCAATGTGTTTGGGAAACCAACATTTCCAGATACTATAGCTAGTTTTCAGAAATGGAAATTTGATTACCCATCCTGCATACAGTATTCAAAATGCTAAATATTATCAAGGGATAAATACTGTACTCACAGAAGATTTTAGTGAGCTACTGATCTTCAGATTCTTGCGAATTAAAATTAAACATCTGTATTCAGGATATTTAAGTAAGTCTAGGTTTTCTGTGGCAAGCCAGGCATATTTATGAAAAACAAGAGATCATACTTTGCATCCATTTAAAAAACTTAGTAATTTTGGACTGTACTAAGGTTTTCAGAGTAAACAGCATATCTTAGAATTATGTTTAAATGGTGTTAATCTCAAGACTGCAAATTAAAAAATAGTATGACAACACATACTCTTACAATGTCTGTGGTACAACCATGAACATAAAAATGTGCTATTCTATTACCTGATTCTTCAATGTTAGCCCTACATATTAAGTTATTTTACTGTCAATGTTATAAAACAGCCAATGTTCCTGTCATTTCTTTTTATAAAGCTGCAGAAATGTCTCATAAAATCAGAACCTTTTTGGGAACAAGTTTCTCAGAATTGAAAAATTTAATCTGAAGTAAATATACTGTATTTGACACTGTCATAGGAAAAGCAAATCACTGTTTTTCTATTTTTCTCAACACTTTGAAAATTCTTCTATTGCACAGCTACATGGCCATAAAAAAGCATGAGGAAGGACAACTGTTAGGAGCAACTTCAAAATAGCGAGATACGTGTGTACTGAAAAAACTACTGTATACAGTACATTGCATATACAGTATCTACATGCAAATCTACCCAGTGATGATATTCTGTTACAATTATATCTTTAACTGATATCAGAGGTCATATTCACTTCTATAACAGATTCTTTTAATGTTTAAAAGCATTTGAGCATATTTTCTAAACCGATGCAGTATACCTCAGAGAGTGCGAACCGCACAGTTACAATAAGTGTCATTCCTACAGTATCAAAAGACCCCTGTTCCCCTGGTGGGTGGGAGCGAGGTTTCAGGGAACTGAGCACTCCATAATCAATCAACTGCTGCTCCTTAGGTATAAAATAAAAACATGACAGAAAAACTTCTCCCGAGAGACCTGAGAGAGTAGCATCACTCTAACAGTCTAATTTAATCCAGCAAGCGATGTTAGAGGTGTGAGGATCCTGGCGAACACCCCAGTGAAAGCATGCCATTTTCCATTATGTCTTGTTGCCTCATGTCACCAGAGAATGACTTGTGAGTAATCATTCTGGATCTCGTTTGTGGCATACTGTATATCCACGTCTTTATCAAGACACCTGATTTCTGGTGCAGGGGTGGTAGTAACAATCAGTGACT